ATTTCTTTCTATTTTTAGTAGAGACGGGTCTCGCCCTTGCTCAGGCTGGTTTGAAACTCCTGACCTCGAGCGATCCACCCGCCTCGGCCTCCCAGAGTGCTGGGATGACAGGCGTGAGCCGCCTCGCCCGGCCAAAATGTGGCGTTTGAACCATCTTAAAGTGCACCGCTCAGAGACACCGAGTGCATCCGTCGCTGTTGTATGACCATCTCCTCTCTCCAGTCCCGAAACATTCGTCAACCCAGAGCAAACCGTGCACCTGTTAGGTCATTCTCCCCCATGCTAAGCCAGGGTGACTTCACCTTAACTTGCTCACACCTGCAAAGACCCCATTTTGCAGATGAGGTCCCGTTCCCAAGCACCCCGGATCGGGACTTCTCAGAGCTCCCAATTCAACCCGGTGCAGGCCTCGTGGGAGCCAATGGGAAGTTAAGAACACAAGCCCAGTGTGACATTTTTAAAAAATTTTAGTGTATTATGGGGGGTACAAGTGTTAAGGTTACGTATATTGCCCACCCCCCTCCCCTCTTGAGTAAGAGCTTCAAGTGTGTCCATCCCCCAAACGTTGCACATCTCACTCGTTGTGGTTGTGTACACCCGTCCCCTCCTCCCCTTCCCACCTGCCTGACACCCGATAAATGTTACTCCTATATGTGTGACATTGGTACTTCGCAGGGAAGTGCTCTGTCTCCTCAGCTGACATCCTCCCCTCCCTCTCCTTACCCCAGGGCTATAGTGAAACTAATAAGGGTGAGAACAGCAGGTGTCACCTTCCTGCTACCCCAAAGCCAGGTGAGCCTAAGGAGATAAGAACAGGGAACTGGATAATTCGCAAGCTGGGCAGGTCATCTGGATGTAACGTCCAGGGCGGGCCGACCTGGCTCGGTGCTGAAATCCGAATCCCTGGGTAGCACCGTGCGGTGCCTCTTTGCAAGGCCAATCGGCACCGCGGCTTTTTGCGGGAAGGCGTGGCTGTAGCCACGCACGAGGCTCCTTAGAATTAATTCAGCACTAGGCGTGTGCTCCTGACTGCAGGCGGAGCCAGGGAGGCTTTGCAAAGGTAAGCGGAGGAGAAGGCTTGCCCATGCGTAGTGCGCGTTACCTGCGGCCGCCTCTGCTCGGCCTGCCTTCCAGCTGGTGCCCGGCCGCCTCGGATGGGCCCCCAGGGGTGCAAATCCAAAACGAATGTGCCGAGAAGCGCATCGTCCTGCAGAATCACAGAAGTGTTGTGGGTCCGAGCCAATGGGGTTGACTTCACGTGGATTCTGGCAGGCAGAGTAAGCTGACCCTCTTCCCACTCCCCGAAGCTGTGGGAGAATGACTCAACTTCTCTCCTCGTGTCTGTTTCTCGCTCGTGTTTGGTGGAGCGCGTGGTAGGTTTATTTCACGGATGGTTGAGGGATTCCTTCTTCCAGTGTCCTCCACGCTCTCTGTTTGAGCCAATCCGCATAAAACGACCTGGTTGCTTGCTTCAACAGAGTTTGCGATTTGGTTGGCGACCAATTTGTCGTCGTCCGCAGGCCTTTGCCGGTCCATGTGGAGGATTCTGTTGTCTAGAAAGAGATGGAGGTTGGGCAGTAGGTAGCAGTGGTAGGGAACGGAGGGAAAGAGAACAGCAAGGACATTCAGGTGGGTTCTGGAAGCAGGAAGCTGAAAAGCCCAGCCCAAGGTGGCTTGCACGGTGGAGAGGGGCGGGGGAAGGAGGCAAGATGTGCTTGGTATGAAATAGGTCGTGTCGTGGCCGGGTGAGGTGGCTCACGTCTTTGATCTCAGCACTTTGGGAAGGTTGAGGGCAGGAGGATCACTCGAAGCCAGGAGTTCAAGACCAGCCTGGGCAACGCAGCAAGACCCCATCTCGACAATCAAATAGGGAAATTAGCCAGGCATGGTCATGCACACCTGTAGCTACTCGGGAGGCTGAGGCAGGAGGATCGCCTGAGCCCAGGAGTCAGAGGCTGCTGTGAGCTACCATGACACCACGGCACGCCAGCCTGGGCGACAGAGTGAGACCCTGTCTCAAAAAAATAACAATAAGTGATTAAAAATAAATAAATAAAACAGGCTTCATGCTTGGCAACGTGCAGAGAACGTGAGACACAGAGAGGACGAACTTACCTGTTTCCTGACTCTTTAGTGGGATTAGCTGTTGGACACTTGGGTTTTTCCCCGCCTCTTGGCTACTGTGAACCGTGCTGCCGTGAGCGTGCGTGTGTGCACGTACCTCTTCGAGACCCTGGTTTCCAAGTCTTTCGGACGTACATGCACCCAGACGTACGACCGCCAGATCCCACGGGAAGCCTGCGTTTAACCTTTTAGGAGCCGCCGCGGTTCTCTTTGGCGCAGCAGGTGCGGCACGTACGGCCACGTCCGCAACGTGCAGGGCGGCTCTGGTCTCTACGTCCTCGCCCGCGCTTGCCGCTTTCTGTTTTCCTGGTGTTGACAAGAGTCTTCCCAACGGCCGTGAGGCGGCTGCCGCTGCCCTTTGACCTCCTTCTTTTCATGGGCCAGGGCTCAACCTGGGGTCCGGAGCTGCCTTAGCCACAGAGCCGCCAGCCCTGGTCTCAGCCCGCGAGTGCATGGTCAGACGCACGACCTAGAGAAGTCGGCGGAGACTCTACACACCTGTAGGTTTCAATTGAGCATCGTGGTAAAGATCCAGAGAATTCTCTTAATTTTTTTGTTTTTGGAGACAGAGTCTCGCTTTGTTGCCCAGGCTAGAGTGAGTGCCATGGTGTCAGCCTAGCTCACAGCAACCTCAGACTCCTGGGCTCAAGCGATCCTTCTGCCTCAGCCTCCTGGGTAGCTGGGACTATAGGCATGCGCCACCATGCCCGGCTAATTTTTCTATATATATTTTTAGTTGGCCAATTGATTTCTTTCTATTTTTAGTAGAGACGGGGTCTCGCTCTTGCTCAGGCTGGTTTCAAACTCCTGACCTGGAGCGATCCTCCCACCTCGGCCTCCCAGAGTGCTAGGATGACAGGCGTGAGCCACCGCGCCTAGCCCAGAGAATTCTGTTATAACTGGGTTATATAAGGATGCAGTGAGTATTTTTTTTGGTTTTGTTTTAAATTGTTCTTTCCACTGTAAGGAAATAGAGTTCCCACAGAAGGAATTTCGGCGGTGGAGGCTGAGCTTCTGGGACGTCCACACATACCTGGTGGAAAAAAATCAATTGTGCTGTCCTTAATATGAGTGTGGCTGTGCCCAGTCGACAGGCTTCATGATATGGGTGAGAAACAGGGTCTCGCTCTGTCACCCCAGCTGGAGTGCAGTGGTGTCATCGTAGCTCACTGCAGCCTCAAACTCCTGGGCTCAAGCGATCCTCCTGCCTCAGCCTCTGAGTAGCTGGGACTACAGGTGCACACCACCATGCCCAGCTAATTTTTTTTTTTTTGTAGAGATGGGGTCTTGCTGTGTTGCCCAGGCTTAACTCAAACTCCTGGACTCAAGCGATCCTCCTAGCTCAGCCTCCCGAATAGCTGGGACTGCAGGCGTGTGCGCCACCCCACCTGGCTAGTTTTCTGTATGTTTTGTAGAGCTGGGGTCTTGCTGTGTTGCCCAGGCTGGTTTCGGACTCCTGTCCTCGAACGATCCTCCCTCCTCAGCGCCTCCCAGAGTGCTGGGATTACAGGTGTGAACCAGTAACACACGACCTCCATTTATCCTTTTAAAGAGAATTCTCCTTATGTTTAAAAAGAGCCACACAGTGTTAAATGAAAATTTGTAGATGCATAAAGTTTTCTGCTGACCTCTCTAAGTTGCATGCTATAAAAAATCGATGGAAAATGCCACTTAGGGAGGCACAAGGAATGAAAGGTGACAGATGACAAACCAACCAGAGAGCACCACTTGGGGATGGACACGTCCCCAAGGCCACCCCGCTGGACCTCTTGACTTTCAGAATCTTTTCCTTCTAGCCAGCCGGCCTCCAGCCGGCGCCGGGAGCTAGATTTCCCACCGGCCTTGACTCCTCTTCCCGGGAAAATCTTTCTCCGAAGCAGCTGGCCCCATTGAAACACGTGAACGCCGCCCGGGTCCTTCCTTTCAAAAGTGCTGTTTTAGATCGAGACAGGGAGTGTCTTTTTTTTTGCTTTTGCTTTTGTGTATCCATGGTAACGATAACAGCAACACCACCGGAAAAAAAAAAAAACAATTATAATGAAAGCAAATTGAGCAGATGTGTGGGGTTAAAGGGATGGGTTCTAGAGTCCTTGTTTTCCATGCTATATTTGTTACTAAGACAGATACCGTGTAGTTTTCGTGTTTTGTTTGTTTGTTTCTGAGTAACAATAGTAACAGTAACAGTAGCAATGGCTTAGATACTGTGGGGCTTAGCACATGTTTCTAAGGAAAATAGCCAGGAAAGACAGTGTTGCTATCTTGACCCAGTGACACAGAGTGCACAGAGTGAAGGGGAAGGGGGCATCGTTTTCATTGCAATCAGCTAAGTTATTGTCACACTCAAACCTTCTGCAGGAGGCCGGGCTCAGTGGCTCACGCCTGCAATCCTACCACTCTGGGAGGCCGAGGCGGGCGGATTGCTCGAAGTCAGGAGTTTGAAACCAGCCTGAGCAAGAGCGAGACCCCCGTCTCTACTATAAATAGAAAGAAATTAGTTGGCCAAGTAAAAATATATAGAAAAAATTAGCTCTAGGTCAGGAGTTCGAAACCAGCCTGAGCAAGAGCAAGACCCCTGTCTCTACTATAAATAGAAAGAAATTAGTTGGCCAACTAAAATATATAGAAAAAATGAGCCGGGCATGGTGGCGCATGCCTGTAAGTCCCAGCTACTCTGGAGGCTGAGGCAGGAGGATCGCTTGAGCCCAGGAGTGTGAGGTTGCTGTGAGCGAGGCTGATGCCACGGCACTCACTCTAGCCTGGGCAACAGAGCGAGACTCTGTCTCAAAAAAAGAGAAAAAAGCTCTTCTGTGGAGGATGCATCAGCCGGGCGCAGCTGAGTCACACGGCGGGGATACCTGTCTCTGTCCCCCGTACAGGACGTGGACCCTCTGCGGAACGCCCGAGTACCTGGCCCCGGAAGTCATCCAGAGCAAGGGCCACGGAAGGGCCGTGGACTGGTGGGCCCTCGGCATCCTGATATTCGAGATGCTCTCGGGGTAAGTAGAGCCGGGGCCGGGCCCCCTCCACCCCCTGTCCCCAGGGCTCCACTGTGTGTGCGCGCGTGTGTGTGTGTATGTGTGTGAGAGAGAGAGAGAGAGTCACCAACACTCATTGTCACATCTCCCTCCAGTGATGTGAATCTGCAAGTAAACTTGTTTGCCTGAGAGTCAAAAAACAGGAACAGGTGAGATGTTGGCAGCAAAACACCCCGTCCCTGTCTTCCTCGAAGAGACTGTTACAGCGCGATTCACAAGTTTGGGAACGCGCGGCGTGCAAGGAAGGAGGGAGCGTGCTCTTCCCCGAGAGCGAGTCCGTGCAGCTGGGTGGCACGTGGAAGCCGGGGCATCCTGCGTGTGCCGGGGACATGGTGCAACATGGGCATGCGTCTCTCAACGCAAGGCTCTTCTCTGTGGTGCGGCCCACGGGGAGCCAGGCCCCCGGCGGGGATGCTCAGGTGTGCCCCGCCATGCCAGACCCGCCGCGGCCTGCCTTCTCTGTCTCTTCCTCTCTCCTCCTCTCTTCCGCTCGCTGCCGAGTCCCGAACACGCAACCGGCGTATCCCCTGAGGCCAGTCCGCGTTGCAGCAAACAGCCGGACCCCCTCCCTCGTCTCTGATTGCTCAATGGTGGGGGGCAAAGCTCAGAGGTTTTTTTTTCCCCAAAGAAACTTCCCTGTCCATGGGAGGCAAGGCTGGCAGACAGGTGTTCTCGTGCTAGCAAGGCACGTCCTGGGCACCCTGCCCACGGGGACGGATGATGAGCACCAGGATGCGCCACCATGATGTCCCCCCTTGGTAAAATCCAGGGAGTTGCCGACTTCACCCGGGGAAGGGGACAGTGGCCATTGCCACCTATGCTTATAGCAGCTCCTTTCCTAAAGAAAGTGGATCCTTTCATGCCTGGACCGGTTTAGGGACCGGAGCAGCAGGGAGCAGGTCGGTGGAAGGATTCACCAGGAACCTGGGAGATGAGATGGGAGAAAGGACAGGGGGAGCTGTGACAATTTGTGTGTATGTTTGTGTGTGGTTAACTGTAGATGTCATCTGTCCATCTGTGCACCTGTCTCATCTATGTCTGTCTACCTGCCCATCCATCCTTCTGTCTGTCGTCTGTCTACTTACCTGTATCACCTATACTTAGCTGTCTGTATCTGCCCATCTACCTACCTATCTATATATCCATCACCTATTTACATATTATCTGTCAGTCGTTATATGTCTCCATCTATCCATCTAACCTTCCATCCATCCATCCATCCATCCACTTGCTTACCTCTCTCTACCTGTCCACCTGTCTACCTGTCGCTCTTTTGAATGTTCCATTACTCTCAACTCAGACATGTCTACCGTGTTTCCCTGAAAACAAGACAGGGTCTTCCATTTATTTTTCCTCAAGAAGACACCCTAGTAGGGCTTATTTTCAGGGGATGTGTTATTTTCCCCTCAAAGCCTCAGCTTGCAGCACGCACAGGATGGCCGGCACCTGACAGGGGGAGCCGACCTTGTTGATGGGGCTGCCGGCACCTTTCCGGTCACCTCTGGGACAGCAGCTGTCACGATGGGGCAGATGAGAAGGGCTGCTCGTGTTCTTTCCCGCTCCGCGACGACACGCATGGGTTGTGCAGATGCGCTGCGCAGCCACGCCCGTCACTAGGGCTGATTTTCGGGGTGGGGCTTCTATGGCGCAAATTCTTAGAAATCCCGCTAGGGCTCATTTTATGGGCAGGGCTTATTTTCGGGGGAACACGGTAGTGAATCACATAGAACCAATCATCTCATGATACGATCCAGCCCATGATGTTCTAAGCAACACAAAAGGTTAAAAATCGCATGTGCCCACACCTGTCCTATTTTGCATTTTAATATTGCCCTTCATTTAGTGAAGTAGAATCAGTCAGTTTATGCAATTCTGTTTTAACCTGTGGGATTTTTGTTTTGTTTTGTTTTCTTCCCCTCAAAATTTTGCTCAAAATTTGAGCAAAACCTATGAAAGTCTCAGCCCCAAGGGTGGTACTGTTGGTGAGCCCCATAGACCAATACATAAACTATGGGGGAAAAATGAAATTCCCTGTTTCTGCCTGTGAAAATTGAGGGGCTGAATGAGAATTGTGCTATTTCTCTATAACTGCATTCATTAGAGGCAACTTTCCTAATGAAAAAGAAATGTTTCTCTTAAAAGCTAGAAAAATTGCATGCAAATTTTTGTCCATTCACAACTCAGTATTCTGGAGAACACTAACAGTCAGTACTTTTGGCTTGAGTTATTTGAGACCATACTTTCAAAATGAATTTTAGATACATGTTTGGTGTTTTGATCTTGTCAGAGACAGTTTCAAAATTTGATTCAGTTTATGTTTTGTTAGGTTTCTAGATTCCTGGGGATGATAAAAATGTGCCAGGTTTTGAAAACTTTTGATAAGCCTCTCCTACCTGTTATGCACTTTTCAAAATAAATATTAAATTCTAAAAAAAAAAAAAAAAAAACCAAATAATAACTTGCACCTTTTCCTGCCATAATACCATTGACCACCAGAGGGCAGCGTTGTCCGCTGATGGTCAAATCCTTGCATTTGGATGGTTTTTAAATAGAGTAACATTTATGTTCTCCAATGTATGTCTTTATTCTTGGGACAAAATGTGACTTAGAATAGTATTAAAATGCAATATGCTGTTAGAACATAATACATTAGAGTAGAAAATGATTGGGATAGGATAGAATTAGAGTGGAATATTAGGCTATGTTAAAACTATTATATTAAAATTATATAAAATTACCAGAGTCATTACTAGGATGTAATGTAGCAGAATATTAGAATACATTAGGACATTAGAATGCAGCTGAGAAAATAATATGATTATAATCTATAATCAGGCGCTATTTTTAGAATACTTGATCATGAAAAATAAAACCCTCTGCTAGTGCAAGTTCAGTGTGAATTTCAGACAAGGAGGGAGCTATGCATTTGCGGTGGGCATGTTTCTGTTTCCCACTTTTCCAGTTAGAGCCCACTTTCTGGGTGGGTCTTTTTTTTTTTTTTTTTTTTTTTTTGACAGAGTCTCACTCTGTTGCTTGGGCTAGAGTGCCGTGGCATCAGCCTTGCTCACAGCAACCTCAAACTCCTGGGCTCAAGCGATCCTCCTGCCTCAGCCTCCAGAGTAGCTGGGACTACAGGCATGTGCCACTGTGCCCAGCTAATTTTTTTCTATATATTTTTAGTTGGCCAATTAATTTCTTTCTATTTATAGTAGAGATGGGGTCTCTCATTCTTGCTCAGGCTGGTCTTGAACTCCTGACCTTGAGCGATCCACCTGCCTCGGTCTCCCAGAGTGCTAGGATGATAGGCGTGAGCCACCGTGCCCGGCCTCTTTTTTCCTTTTCTTGCACGTGCCTTTCTGAGGCCAGCCCACCTTGGGCAGGTAAAGCGGTAGCTGACAGTTTAGGGGAGGGTACTGTCTCAAACTGGGGTGTTTCTGCAACAAAGAGGCAGCACTTTGGTTCACAGCACCTGTGGTACCTCTCCTTCCCCGACAGTACATTTCACTGGAAGATTGAGATGGGTAAAATGTTTACCTTACAATTTTCCTGACTCTCATGTGAGTTGGATTTAACTCACGGTAGTTTTGAGCCCGGGGCCTCGTGAAGCATATGTAACTCACATGGTCTCTTTCCCTTGGGAGCCACAAGAAGTATTTTCCAAGTTGCATATAACTCACACACACAAAACAATTAAAAAAAATGTTTTTTTTTTCATTACATTAGAAAGGATTGTTTTGTTTTTGAAGTTTTAAAAATTGTTTCAGAATAGGATGAGAGCACAAATGTTTTGATTACATAAATTGCTTTTGTACCATTTGAGTCAAATTCATAAGTATGCCCATCCCACAAACAGTGTGCATTGTACCCACTTGGTGTGAATTTACCCATCCCCTTCTGCTCTCCCCACCTGCTTGATTTCCAATGAATGTTACTTCCATATATGCACAAGAGTGTTGATCAGTTAGTACCAACTTGATGGTGAGCCCATGTGGTGCTTGTTTTTCCATTCTTGTGATACTTCACCTAGGAGAATGGGCTCCAGCTCCATCCAGGATAACATAAGAGGTGCTAGATCACTGTGGTTTTCTGTGGCTGAGTAGAACTCCATGGTGTACATAGACCACATGTTATTAACCCACTCATGCATTGATGGGCACTTGGGTTGTTTCCACATCTTTGCAATTGTGAATTGAGCTGCTGTAAACATTCGAGTGCAGATGGTTTTTTTTTTTTTTTTACAGAATGTCTTTTTCCCCCCCTTTGGGTATCACATGTTTGTTTTCGAAGTTTTTATTCTATTTTCATAATATAACACCGTGGCCCCAAGGGTCAAAAAAATTTTTTTTTCCTTATATGTGGCAGTCAGCGTGTTAAATAATAGTGACAGTGACAACATTGGTGTGAATTTTTAAGATGCAAATCTTGAGGCTGCATGCATGCCGATTGTCTTTCCAAGTCCAGCTGTCACCAGAGACAACTGTAAGTTGCTTAAAATGCCAGGTCCCATAGAATGAGCGCTTGCGAATGCATTTCCCACTTGCTAGTGGAGACAGAAATTTGAGGGTTTCAGAGGGAAATGCCCTGCCATGCACACGCTCTCTGCTTTTGCCTTCAGGCGAGACGAGTTAGTGCTCACTTATTATTCTTTCCACTGACGGCACACCTTTCCCATGATATTGCCATGTAAACGCCTGCTTTCCAAGAGCACCTTGTTTAATAGTCTCCGTAAATGGTTCTAGGTGTGTAGGACACATTTTCTCCTGGAGTTTTAATGTTCCATTCCCGAATTTGTCCGTTGCCCTGATGAGATCAGACAGCGGGGACTGTCAACGCCCAAGGCTTCTTGCCTGGGGAGGATCGGGTGGATGTCTCCACTGCAGACTTCAACTTCTGAATCTGGTCTAGGCGGTTTTTCAACACAAGAGAGCTGGTACCTCCGGAACCAACAGCTCCGAGGGACACAGCTGTCCAAAGACCCGCCTTCATGCCACACTGTAAAACGAAGGAACTGAAAGGTTCTTTAAGAATTAAAAGCTATTAGTGCCATATTGCATCCTTGCATTCAGCTGAGATAATGTAATACCTTTCATTTCCCCCAGTAGGGTTCCTCTTCTGTCAACTTCCACACTGATTCCAACTTTTATACGTCACCTTTATGGGTTTTTTTTGTTTTGCTTTAAACTGTTCTACTCTCACGTGTCTTGTGATGTGTGTGGAGAGTTGATGTGTATGGTGTGTGCACGAGTGTCTGGGGCTGCCATAAGATGTAACCATAGACTCAGGGGCTTAAACAACAGGAATTCATCCCCTCCCAGACCCGGAGCCCGGGAGTGTGGGACGCGGGAGTCTCGGGGCCGCGCTCCCTCCAAGGCTCCAGGGGAGGCTCCTTCCCGCCTCTCCCGGCTCCCGGGGGCTCCGGGCGTCCCTGGGCTTGTGGCCGCAGCCTCACTCCCGCCTCTGCCTCCTCCATCTGCCTCCACGTGGCTCCCCCTCCGCGTCCGCATCTCCTCTGCCGTCTCTCACGGGGACACCTGTCCTTGGGTTTAGGGTCCTCCCTAATTGCGAATGACTTAACTAATTACATCTGTAAAAATCCTACTTCCAAATTAGATCCCACTAGCAGGTTGTTGGGGTAAGACCATAAATGTGGGCTGCCTTCATCCTACCCATCCTACCCCTTTTTACTTTAAAATAAAAAGAGCCAGAAGTTTACCTGGAATCAACCAGAGAATTATTTTCTGCTCACTGAAATCGGTGGTCAGGGTTCAGGAAATCATTTGAAGACTTTGTTTTATAAGACATCTGCGTTGCTGATATTCCTGAATTAGAATATCTAACAGAATTAGAATACCAGAGCACAAGGAGCTGAATAGAAAATACACTTGTGGGTCAAGCGTCTTTGCCTTGGGCAGCGTGAGAAAATATCAGAAGAGTCACTTGCACCCAGGAGCCTGCAGGGACCCAGTGTGTATATTTATTTGACTTCGAGAGTTTCTTGGGTTTATCTTGGTCTCTGCAGCTTTAAATATGTTTCTTCTTTAGATTACTTCAGAGTCTTACAGATATTTCCAGATATTCGTAGAGACGAGTCTGTCGTTTTTCTCCACCAAGGCTATAGCCTTTACTGTGATACCAGCAACACGGCATAGTGTGAAAGTTTTGCTTTTAAATACTTGCTGCTAGATTCAAGGCTGTGCATTCATGTGTCCTCATATTCTCCTACTCCAGAAGTCAACAAATATATATATATATACATATATATATATATTTTTCTTTTTTTTGCAAAGAGCCAGAGAGTAAACACGTGCATCTTTGCAGACCACGAGGGCTCAGGTGCAACTACCAGCTCGGCTGTGGTAGCTCAGAAGCAGCCACAGCACAGACACGACACCAATGAAACGAAGATGGTATGAGTAAAGGAAGGGGTGTGGCTGTGTGCCAATAAAACTTTATCGACAAAAACAGACCGTGGGCCATAGTCTGCCAACCCTGGGGCCAGATCTCCGTTGCCTAGAGGTCCAAGCTAGAAAGCAACCTTGACTCTCTGTGTCGTAGGTGAATTATCCAGCAACGGAGATTCAGACATGGGCTTCCATAATGTCATGGGCCACCCGAGCCACAAAAACATGACAAGGTGTAACTCGGGCTCTTTCATCTGTCCTAATCACATTTATGCAGCACCTACTGTGTGCCACGTACCGCTGTATGGTTGAGGACTGTAAAGAAGTTCCCTCAACATTTATTGGGTGGGGGGGGCGGGGTGGCGTTTTTGATGCCGTGCAGAATGATTGCAATATGGTGCCACCAGCCCTACGCCAGTATTGCCGGTGGTAGAGACAGCAGAAAGTCTCAAGAAAGATCCCTTTCTCGGCCGGAGTGGTGCATTCTCTGCAATAAAATTTATTTTTAAAAATTGATTTTTTTTGTGGATAATTATACCTATTCATGGGGTGAACAAGGATGTCTCAGTACATATGATGCAGAGTGATCAGATCAGGGTAGTTAGCGTGTCCATCATCTCGAACAGTTATTTCTTTGTGGTAGGAACATTCCATATCCTCCTTCAAGCTGCTTGAAACTAGGTAACATTGCACTGTTAGCTGTAGTCTTGCTACAGTTGCTGTCGAACACCACAACTCACTCCTCCTCTCCAACTGTGATTTTGTGTTCTTTACTGAATCTCTTCCTATCCCTCCCTCCCTCCCTCCTACCTTCCCAGCCCCTAGTATCCTTTGCTGTACTTTTTACTTCCACAAGATCAACTCTTTTTTTTTTTAGCTTCCACATGCGCGTGGGAAGATACAGTGTTTAACTTTCTCTTCCGGGCTCATTTCACGTAACATAGTATCCTCCACTTCCATCCGTGTTGCTGCAAGTGACAGGACTTCATGCTTTTTTATGACCAGATAGTACCCCACTGTGTCTGCACACCACGATTTTCTGTGTCCATTCAGCTGTGAAGGGACACCTACATTGATTCCGTATCTTGGCTCTCGTGAACAGTGCTGCAGTAAACACGAGGGCACAGATATCTCTTGGATATACTGATTTTTCTTTCCTTTGGGTAAATCCCCAGCAGTGGGATTGTGGTGTCATATGGTAGCTCTAAATGCAGTTTTTTTGAGGACGCTCCACACCCTTCTCCGTGGGGGCTGTACTAGTTTACATTCCCACCATGTACAGGGCTTCCCTTTTCTCCACATCCTCACCAGCATTGGTTGTTTTTTATTTTATTTTATTTTTGTCTTTCTGATAGTAGCCTTCCTAACTGGGGTGGCACGGTAGGTACCTCCTTGTGGTTTTGATTTGCACTTCCCCCCCGATGATCAGTGATGTGGTGGGCATTTTTTCATGGACCAGTTGGCCATCTGTATGTCTTTGTTTGAGAAATGTCTGCGTAGACCAGTTGCCCACTTTTTTTTTTTTTTTTTTTTTTTTTTTTTGGAGTCAGAGTCTCGCTTTGTTGCCCAGGCTAGAGTGAGTGCCGTGGCGTCAGCCTCGCTCACAGCAACCTCAGACTCCTGGGCTCAAGCAATCCTCCTGCCTCAGCCTCCCGAGTAGCTGGGACTACAGGCATGCACCACCACGCCCGGCTAATTTTTTCTCTATATATTAATTGGCCAATGAATTTCTTTCTATTTATAGTAGAAACGGGGTCTCGCTCTTGCTCAGGCTGGTTTCGAACTCCTGACCTCGAGCAATCCTCCCGCCTCGGCCTCCCAGAGTGCTAGGATTACAGGCGTGAGCCACCGCGCCCGGCCAAGTTGCCCACTTTTAAAATCGGATTGTTTGTTTCTTTGCTGTTGAGAGGTTTGAGTCCCATTCTTGGTCATGCTGGTGAGGGTGCCACAGGAAGCTTCAGGAAGCATCGATGCACTAGGTGTTTGGTGTACAGTTAGTGCTTCTGAATGAGATGTCCTGTTCAGCCGGTCAGCGGACACCTCCCAAACGATTGTCCCCTCCTGTCCCGGGGACCCTGTCCCACCCGTGGGTCTCACGGCACCGTGCATTGCCTCTTAGAACCATCTGCGTGTCTCGAGATAGCAGTGACTTCGGCGTGCAGAGGAAAGACTGCATGTGAAATGAATCACTTTCTGCGTATGTTCAGCAGCAACGGCAAACCGTTAACCAAAGCGCAGAATTTTTTTTTTTTTCCACGCCTCGGTCTCCGCTAAAAATAGACGCTTTTGTTTTGCTAACAGGTTCCCTCCGTTTTTTGATGACAACCCATTTGGCATCTACCAGAAAATTCTTGGAGGCAAAATAGATTTCCCCAGACATCTGGACTTCAGTGTGAAGTAAGTAGAGCCCTCGTCATGCTCGCCGGGTGTGTTTATTTTTAAAGCGTGTGAGATCACGGCTGAGGGATTCGATCATCGGGACACCACATTGCATGGTTACCCGGGCCGCGTTTGAACTATTCCGGATCCCTCATCTTTTCCACAGAAAGGAGGGGGAAAAAAAAAAAGGTTTTAATTATTCTTCAGTGAGATTTCACATCGTAATGACTCTTGGCCGTACTTCATTCCTTTGGAGATAAATGATGCTTAGAATGAGCGAATAACGGAATGTGTTATCGTGCGTTGTGAGCCGGCAGTCTTGGTGGGTTTTTTGTTTGTTTGTTTGTTTGCTTGTTTTTTTGCTAAATTTAAGTTCGGTTCTGAGCATGAGTATTTGCATTTGATGAATATTGGTAACGTTGGCCGTGCATCTCATCAAAGTTGTGGCAGTAGGGAAGAAAGTGTGTGTGTGTGTGTGTGTGTGTTTTTTTTAATTTTTTAAATATGAGGATGTTTTTGCTTTTCCAAACACCGTCCTCCGTCAGGCCACCTTGTAGCCGTTTTTACCATAGCGAGTCCTGATTTCTGTTTTTCTCCACACCGGGATTTCGCAGATGGCTGGGTGAGTGCAGGAACCCCCACCTAATTGCAAAGTGGAGCTACATGTGTTTATTGGAGAGCTAAACTTTTCTCTTCTTTGAGCTACTGTCTTTGAATAGCAAAGGGGAACTACATTCAGGGTAAAAAGCAAAGTGGAAAGTAATAGCACAGTAATAGCAGAGTAATAGCAAAGTGGGAACTACATTCAGAGTAAACTTCTTTTATGGCAACACACCAGGTTAGCATGGATGTGCCTTTTTTTTTACTCTATTTTATTTTATTATTTTTTGAGACAGAGTCTTGCTATGTCACCCGGGCTAGAGTGCCATGGCATCATCATAGCTCACAGCAGCCTCAGACTCCTGGGCTCAGGCGATCCTCCTGCCTCAGCCTCCTCCCGAGTAGCTGGGACTACAGGCACGTGCCACCGTGCCCTGCTAATTTTTTCTATTTTTTTAGTAGAGATGGGGTCTCGCTCTTGTTCAGGCTGGTCTCGAACTCCTGACCTCAAGCGATCCTCCTGCCTCGGCCTCCCAGAGTGCTAGGATTACAGCAGGCGGGAGCCACCGCGCCCAGCATTAGGGACATGCCCTTTAATGGGACAACTGTCTCTGCCCAGTTAAGTGTCTTAGTGGTGAGCATGCCTCACTCATCCTAACAAGCTCGACAAGAATTTTAGCAAGAAAAGGAGACTCCATTTAACAGTAAATGATCTAGAAAGGGTCATCCTGTCCAGCGAATGTTAAGACTAAAGTTCGAAGGTATACACTGCACTCGAAAGTCAGTCGCTCTGGAAAGAAATGAAAACGATCCTATGGGATTTCTCTCCCAGGGTCCAAATGCCCTCCGAGTCCAGTGGCATTCTTTGAAATGCACATCAGAGCGCTTTCAAACTCGAGATATAACATGTCTATCTGCTGTTCCCCAGCAATTTCATTCGATTAGGGGCTATCGGTACCCACTGACAATTGACAGCCAGGCTGTCCTGCCTGAAATTCCCCTGGAACAAGCTCCAGGGTGTGTGCGGGCATTGCTGGCCCGGCACCGCTGCACGCTGGGGGAACCCAGCTCGTGGTGGTGGTGGGCGTGGGGTGTTCCCCTCCACAGAACTTGCTTCTAGCGCAGTCACCCTGGGCGATTCTGGTGCGTTCTCTCCAAACCGCCTCTTTCTTCCGTAGACTTCCAAGGGGCTTGGGGCATCTCAGAAGATCGTGCATTGTATTTCTTTTCCTCTTGCCGGGAATGGCTTCAATTCTTGCAAGAGAAGGGACTATCCTTATGTATTGGATCATATGTTCCCTTATAGGTGTGAAGGTCCCATGTCATTTAAATTAAGTATTGAATGGGTTTGTTTTTTTTTTTTTAATTTTTTAGGGTGTAGGTTTCCAGTGTTTTGTAGAGCGAATAGAAGCCTAATCGAAAGTCCAGTCTCTTGCCATGTCTTCTTTTTCTCCTACTTTATTGTTGTTGAGAAGAGAAAAGCACCTTGGTATTGTTTGTTTTTTATTCTTTACTTTTGTTTTATGTCAGAGTAATTATGGGGGTGCGAACGCTTTGGTTTTACATGAAGTGCCTTTGCACCTCCCAATTTTATATATATAGCCATTATATATATATATATAATATATATACACACATACATATATACACACATATATATACATATATATGTATATAATATATAATTCACATATATATGATTAAAAAGGAAAGAGAAAAAAAAGGGAAGCAAAGCTTTGGGGCTTGTTGCCAACTTAGTAGAGCTATTATCTATGAATGGTTTTTGTTCGCTTGCTTTTCGTTTTTCTGTGCCTAGAAGTATGTGCATCAGGCAGCTGGCACTGGGGTAGTCAGGAAAATTTGGAATTTTGTCCTCAGTGGATGAGGAGATGGCCGGCAGACACAGAGCCCGTCCTGCGGGTAGGTGCCCGCCCCGAGGCATGTTCCTTTAGGTGGCCTTGCGTTACAGTAGGGGGACTCCTTTCCATTTGCAGTCTTTGCTTTCTACGCTGTTCTGCAAGAGCTCACTTGAGTATTTTAAATCAACCTTTGTTTTCTTATAATCCTCGTCCATCCAGCTTTAGGCATATGCACTGATACAGCCAACAGTGCTGCGAATAACATGAAAATTAAACATTCGCGCTCCCATAATATGCCGAAATAAAAAAAATAAATAAATAAAATCGAATCAACGAAAACAAAGAAAAAGACGTCCTGTGTTGGCAAATGCAGTCCTTCAGTGTCAGTTTTTATATTTCTGAGAAGTAAGATTGTACTCTCCTACATCATTTAATCTCTCCTCCGTTTACAAGGATGATCATGCATGATGCTCTGTCCCTCTGTTTTGGCCAGTTTTCTCAAACCAGTAACATTCTGGGGGGATGCCAAGAAAAGAAGAAAAAAAAAGAAAGAAAGAAAATTAAAAACAATAAAACAAACCTGCATGTTTATTTGGGAATGTCTTGGGGTGGGGGGTCTTGTCCTAACGTTTCAGCGATTTCATATTTTAAGCGCTGTGCAAAATTCCCCCTCCTTCACCGGACGGCTGCAGAATCCCAGCCTTAGCCGGGCCGGTGGGCTCTGAAATTTCCCTTGGAAACAGGCACAGCAGGGAATTCCAACAGGCATCCTCCCCTCTCGAAACTCAGAACATGCACAGTGTCGGGAAACTATAGCAATAGGTCCTTTTTGCCAAAACGTTTCAGTAGGGACCCGCAAAATCCACAGCCTGTCCTGGGAATGGGGCATCCCCTGAGTTGTCTAAGTCAGGCATCCTTGAACTACGGCCCCCGGGCCACATGCCACCTTCCTAGGACATTCATCCAACCCGCCGGGTGTTTTTCCTCCCGCTGCCTGTCCTGCTTAGCAGCCGACTCGTCCCGGGCCCACAGTGCGCATGTGTGGAATGTGCCCGCACTCTCCAACGGTCTGAGGGACAGTGAGCTGGCCCCCTGTTTGAAAAGTTTGAGGACCCTTGCTCATCTAAGTCTTTTCTGCTGGTCAGAGAACCCAGGCGCGGCTGGAGCCCAAGTTAGCGCTACGTACCCTGGTGGGTTAGAGTTTATGCCAGGACGGCTTAGACCTAGCCTGAGCTTGGATCACCAGTATCGGATTGTTTGGGGCAACTTTAGTATATTATATTATTGTAGTTTATATTATATTACAGTGTTATATTCATAATATAATATATAGCATGCATGTTAATACTACATCATATACATCCTGTATATGTTATGCATATCATGTATTGTGTCTTTGCATTTTATTTATTTATTTAATTTTATTTTTGAGACAGAGTCTCACTCTGTTGCCTGGGGCTAGAGTGCCGTAGCGCCAGCCTTGCTCACAGCAACCTCAGACTCCTGGCCTCAAGCGATCCTCCTGCCTCAGCCTCCAGAGTAGCTGGGACTACAGGCATGCACCATCACACCCGGCTAATTTTTTCTGTATATATTATTAGTTGGCCAATTAATTTCTTTCTATTTTTTAGTAGAGACGGGGTCTCGCTCTTGCCTGGAACTCCTGAGCTCAAACGATCCTCCCGCCTCGGCCTCCCAGAGTGCTGGGATGACAAGCGTGAGCCACTGCGCCCTGCCTTTGTATTTTATCACACTACATATTCCATGCACACACACACACACACACACGTTATCCTTTTCACTCCACAACTTTCCATCTCAGAACTCCCCTCATCCTCTGGAAGTCTTCAGGCTCCTCTCTCCAACTTCCCATCCTCACTGGACCGCTGCCTGGTTATTTCTGATGCCATCTGTCATTTAAAAGAAAAGACACTGGCCGGGCGCGGTGGCTCACGCCCTGTCCTACCGAGTACCTCTGGAGAGGTCCGAGGCAGCCGATCGCTTGCCAGTCAGGAGTTCGGAGACCAGCCTGAGCAAGAGTGAAACCCCACTGTCCTCACCGCCATTGGGGCGCTGCCTGGGCTTCGCCCAGCTATCGGAGGCCTGAGGCAAAAGGATCGCTTGACCCAGGAGATTGAGGTTGCTGTGAGCGGGCTGATGCCACGGCACTCGCTCTAGCCTGGGCGACAGAGTAGACTGTCCTCAAAAAAAAGAAAGAAAGAAAGAAAGAAAGAAAGAAAGAAAGAAAGAAAGAAAGAAAGAAAGAAGAAAGAAAGAAAGAAAGAGAAAGAAAGAAAAGAAAGACAAGAAAGAAGAGGGAGGGAGGGAGGGAGGGAGGGACGGAGGGAGGGAGCGAGCGCGAGCGAGGGAGGGCCGCGTCGACACACCCGAAAGCGAAAGAAAGAAAGAAAGAAAGAAAGAAAGAAAGAAAGGAAGGAAGGAAGGAAGGAAAGAAAGAAAGGAAAGGGAAGGAAGGAAGGAAGGAAGGAAGGAAGGAAAGAAAGAAAGAAAGAAAGAAAGAAAGAAAGAAAGAAAGAAAGAAAGAAAGAAAGAAAGAAAGAAAGAAGAAAGAAAAGAGACAAGCGAGCAAGCCGACCCTAACAGACGCATCCTAACTTGTGTGCTCACCAGAGACCCGGCATTTTAAAACAGGAACGCCATAAATAAGCAGACCCTCAGGCCAAAATGTGGTTGTTTGTTTTGGTGACAGCAGGTGTCTTCCGTTCTGCAGGGACAGTCTGACAGGTGTATTTATGGGACGTGCCCGTGTGCTCCCCTCAGTCACATAAATTTCTCACGCCGCCCCGTTCAAATCTGCATTTTCTGCCTGGAGACAGAATCTGCCTCCTCTCCTAGGTCTGGGGCCGCGAGCACGGCCTCGCCTGAGTTATCTCAGAACCGATAAAACAGCTGAGAATTAAACGTTTTGCCCAGCGGGAAACCGAGCCTCGGCACCAACGGGGGTGTCGTGGTGTGTGGACTCTGTGTTTGATGATGATGATGATGTCCCGTGTGCGCTCAGGGTGACAGTAACGTCTCTGTGTCGTTTCTGTCTCCTTTCCCCTGGACAGAGACCTCATTAAGAAACTGCTCGTTGTGGACAGGACCAAGCGGCTGGGAAACATGAAGGTGAGTTTTTCGTCGCGCAGATGGGAAGGGGCGTCTGATCCCAGCTGCCGAGGTTGGCCACCAACGTCCACGTTTCTGAGACGGAAATCAAAGCGTGTGCGTATATTTAGTCCTCGGCCACATTTCAAAGCTGGGTTGCTGGGCGCTCAATATCACCTTGTCTCCCCAAATCTGCACACAAGCTGATGACGGCGCCACAGCAGTTCATAAGTTATCCCTTGCTGTTTTGTTTATTTTTGTAAGCATCCTTTCTGAGAGAGCCTTCACACGCCCTATAATTAATTTACCCGTCGAAAATGTGCAATGCAGGCTGGGCGCAGAGGCTCATGCCTTGTAATCCCAGCACTCTGGGAGGCCGAGGCGGGCGGATTGCTCGAGGTCAGGAGTTCGGAAGCAGCCGGAGCAAGAGCGAGACCCTGTCCCTACTATAAATAGAAAGAAATCAATCGGCCAACTAATACATATATAGAAAAAACTAGCCGGGTGTGGTGGCGCATGCCTGTAGTCCCAGCTACTCGGGAGGCTGAGGCAGGAGGATCGCTTGAGCCCAGGAGTCTGAGGTTGCTGTGAGCTAGGCTGATGCCACGGCACTCACTCTAGCCTGGGCAACAAAGCCAGACTCTGTCTCAAAAAAAAAAAAAATGTGCAATTCAGTGGCTTTTCGTATTCACGGGATTACGTGCAATCATCTCCCGGATTAGTTTTAGAACATGTTCATCACCTCCAAAACAATCTTCCATATTCTTCATTGTTCACTCTAGTGCCTTTCTGTCACCTCTTGCCCTGAACAACCACGAGTCTATTTTCTTTCTCTTTAAGTTTCCCTGTTCTGGGCTCTCCCCTAGAAATAGAACTGCACAAAGCATGACCTTTTGTGCCTGGCTTCTTCCACTTGTGTGCCGTGGCCCCTTTGCAGGACGGGGGATGAATGCAAAACACAAAAGAAAGACACAGACACACCCAAAGACGGTTACAAGACTGCAGTGCAGAACGCACCGGTCGTTTTATTTTTATACCCTCCCCCAAAAATCAAAGTTAGTTCCTTGTAGGTGACCACCCAGGCATTGCAGCGATAGCCGTAAATTCCGGAACACGTAGCCTTAAGGACACAGATGTCCCCTGACTCAAGGTTTCCAGGCGGTTGCTCAAAGCGCCAGGCATATGTAACAGACCGAGACAAGCAAGATTAGGCAAGGCAGCCACGGGGGACACTTTATGTACCTAGTTCCTCCTGGCTGGCCCCCCGGTGGCTGTGCATGTCTTAGGTCACTCCTCCCTGAGGAATCTTACCTGTCATTGACTAACCAGCCATCGTATGGGGCTGAGCAGCAATCCTAGGAAAAGTGTTTTATCGTGTGGCCTCCAGACGCCCACTGCTGTGGGGCTGGGCAGTTCTTGCCTATTTGCAGAAACTCAGGTCCTTTGTTATGCCTCTAGGCAGCAACCTTGTTCGTCACAAGGACCCTGTCCCAAACACATTACTCTCAAACGCTCTGGGCAGAGCACGTACATTACTCATTAAGTTTAACTCTAAACTGGGTAAGTGTTTTATTAGTCCCCAACACTTGTGTTTTCTGGGTTCATCTGTGTAGTGACTTCATGCCTTTTTATGTCCGATGACTGTTGAATTCTACGGAGAGGCCCTTTCTGTTTGTCCAGTCATGCTTCGATGGAAGTGTGGGCTGTCCCCACCTCTGCGCACCTGTGACTAGGTCTGCCCTGAACAGAGATGCATGCAATTTTTATGGGATTAGTGATTATTTTAGAAGGTGCACATCGAGTGTGATTTCCACATGCTTTTCTTGTGAAAGGAAACATAATTAAGGAGCTGACTGTTCCATAAATTGGATGCTGTCTCATACGCATGTTTCGGTTCTGTTTTGGCATCTCCGCATTGGATAGAATTCATGGATTTTATGTCAGCTATTTCTACTTCCAGGCGTCCTTGGAGTTGCATGAACACAGCTGTGTGCACCTTGACCCTGGACATTGCAATGCGGAGAGACCCAGGCAACCAGTGTGGGAGGCTAGAGCCACGTAGATCTCTCAGGGCCCCCTGTGTGTGTCTGTAGGGGTTTCTTGTGGCTGCCATAAGAAACTTAGGAAGTTAAAGCAACAGAGAGTCACCCTCTCCCAGTCCCGGAGCCCAGGAGTGTGGGACGCGGGAATCTCAAGGCCGCGCTCCCTCCATGGGCTCCAGGGGAGGCTCCTTCCCGCCTCTCCCGGCTCCCGGGGGCTCCAGGCGTCCCTGGGCTTGTGGCCGCAGCCTCACTCCCGTCTCTGCCTCCTCCGTCTGCCTCCACGTGGCTTCTCCTCCGCGTGTGCGTCTCCTCTGCCGTCTCTCACGAGGACACTTATCATTGCATTTAGGGCCCTCCCTAGCGACTTCATCTCCAAATGGTAGTCATTTATCTTTATCAAGTATTATGTACGGTACACAGTTGTGTGCGTGTACTTTTATACAGCTGGCCGTGCAGTAGGTTTGTGTACACCAGCACCATCACAGACACATGAGGTATGTGTTGCGCTAAGATGCTATGATGTCTACATGTCACTAGGCAATAAGAATTTTCCAGGTTCATCATAATCGTGTTGGACCATCGTTATATAGGCAGTGCATTGTTGGCTGAAACACTGTTATGTGGTGCATGACTGTGTACACGCAAATACACACACACACAGGCATCATATCCTATATATATTTGTAGCAGATAAAATTCTAATTTGGATGCTGTGTATGTACGTATTTACTTTATATATACAGTAAAAAAAGTATGTGCGTATACAGTATATAAAGTGTGTATGTGTATGTGTGTATATATACATACACGCACAATATCCAAACTAGTATTATACTACAACTTATATACTGTATATGCAAAATATATAAAGAATCTAGATGTGTGTGTACATATATAAATACATGTATATGAGTGTATAAACATGCACATCCCTTAATATAAAAAGTATACTTAGTGTAATTGTATCACTTAGCATAAAAAGTGTGTGTATATACCGTATAAAAAGGGTTTATATAAAGTATATATACACATACACACACAGGATCCAAACTAAAATTTTACTACCATTTATATACTGTATATATAAAATATGTGTGTGTGTGTGAATATAGGTATGAATATATAAACACATCTATCCTTTAATATAAAAGGTATAGTTAGTATAAGCATAATTTTATCCTTAAGCATAAATATATATAGTATATAAAATATGTATATATACAGCATATAAAGTATGTACATATAGTATATAAAGTATGTGTATATATATTAAGTATATATAGTATATAATGTATATATACAGTATATAAAGTATATATATACAGTATATAAAGTATGTATATATACAGTATATAAAGTGTATATATACTGTATATAAAGTGTACATATATACAGTATATAAAGTATATATACAGTATATAAAGTATGTATATATAGTATATTAAATATGTATATATAGTATATAAAGTATATATATACAGTATATAAAGTATGTTTATATACAGTAAGTGTGTATATAAAGTGTATATACACACAAGATCCAAACTGGAATTTACTACTGCTTATATACTGTATATATGAAGTATATGTATGTGTGTGTCCATATGTAAATATGTATGTGAGTATATAAACACACCCCTTGGTATAAAAAGTATACTTAGTATAATTTAATCCCTTAGCGTAAAAAGTATGTATATATACAGCATATAAAGTGTGTATATATAAAGTATAAAAAGTGTGTATATGAAGTGTGTATATACATATATATATACACACACACAAGATCCAAACTAGAATTTCACTGCCACTTACGTGCTGTATAAAGTATATAAGATATATGTGTGTGTACATATGGAAATATGTTTATGAGAATATAAACACACGCATCCCTTAGTATCTAAACTAGAATTTTATCTAATCAGGGGTGAAAGTCTCAGTTCCATTCACAGCATAACTCATGACAAATCTCAACAACAGTTTGATATTTCACTTCGCTATAGATGGGAAATACCATTTTCCAATAGGAAAGGGAAAAGTTTTCTCAACAACAGGATGGGGAGGGGGGGAAACCAAAAGAAATTCACATCACTCTTTTTTTTTCCTATTCCGAGACAGGATCACGGCACAGATTCTTTGTTGAGGACGAGAAGTTTAAAACCTCACAAACACGGGAACGGATTGACACGTTGCAAGCGTAGCGGTGAATTCCCGTGCAGTGGGTCCCGTTGGCAGCGAGCACGTGTTTATGTCTCCTACCGTCTCGGGTTTAGCTGACAGCAGAGTTTCCATACGTGTAATGAAAAGGAAGGAGGGTGCGGTCCACGCCTGACCCCGTGGCACGGGCGGTCCCTACTGACAGCCCCGGGCACGGAGCAGGCGGCCCTGAAGGCCCTGGCTCAGCTGCAAGCTCACGGGGCGTCCTCGCCAACATCTCCCGGGGTGGACGTGCACTTGGTTTGAGCCCCACTCCGGTGTTAGCTCACGTGCCGGGTCACCGCGACCCAGTCACACCGTTCCTCCGGAGCACCCTCCTTTCAGAGTGCATAAAACACCGAACAGAATTGTCAAGATGAGCCCGGCAGACAAACCCACAGAAATCACCACCGTGCCCAATTTTATGCCTCGGGGCTAAGCGGTATTTATCCTTTAGCCTCCGGTGCCGAGCCGTGTGCACCTGAGCCTCCGGGCTGGGTTTGCGGCCACCACGCAGAAGAGCAAACAAAACACAAGCCGCTGGCTTGCCCGCTTCCCCGGGAAGCTCCGAGGAGCACCATCACTGCCAAGACAGCAAATGCCTTTTTCTGTTTGTTCCTGCGCTAAACGACGGAGAGATTCTCTGCGATCCTTCCGAGCCCCGCCCGCTGACCGTGCACGTTTTTTTCTCTTGCAGAACGGCGCCAATGACGTGAAGCGGCACCGCTGGTTCCGATCCGTGGACTGGGACTCCGTGCCGCAGAGGAAGCTCAAGGTGTGTGAACAGGTTCTGTACGCACACTGGCCAAAAACCAAGTCGATATTTAAAAGGTGTATGTATGTTGCCAATTCTGGGTCTTATCCACTCAGAGCCACCTGTAGGTGATCACTTTTTATTAGACTTTCCTGCAGTCCTTCCAGAGTTTATTGATGCTAATAAAACCCCTTATGGAGAGACGTATTTTTATTTTCTCCGTGCACTTATAGAGAACCTGGACCACTACGTACAATACTCTATTCTCTCTCTCTCTCTCGCTCTCTCTCTGTCTCTCTCTCTTTAGAGACAGAGTCTCACTCTGTCACCCAGGCTGGAGTACAGTGTCGTCATCACAGCTCACTGCAGCCTCCAACTCCCGGGCTCAAGTGATCCTCCTGCCTCAGTCTCTCCGTAGTAACTGAGACTACAGGCGTGCGCCACCACACCTGGCTGATTTTTCTATTTTTAGTAGAGACAGGGGTCTCGCTCTTGCTCAGGCTGGTCTCAAACTCCTGGCCTCAAGCGATCCTCCCAGAGTGCTGGGATGACAGGTGTGAGCCACACCGCACCCGGCTAGTGTCCTGTTCTTGTTTCTCACACTTGACAGTATGCTCTGGAGGCCTTTCTCCATGCCTGGATAGCTTTCCCATTCCTTTTAAAATGCATCGTATTCTAGCCCGTGACTGTGCCCTGGTTTACGTGAACAGACCTCTTCTGCTCCAGTGAGCAGCTTCGTTGCATTTCATTTATGCGAAGAAGAATTTGCAGAAGTGAGATCCTTGGGGCCAAAGATACATGGGTTTGAAATTTTGGTAATTTTGTAGCCTCTCTCTCCATAAAGGTTGTATCCTTTTACAACAAGAGAAAGGAGAGCCGTGAAAAGTTGCACAACTTGTAGCTGTTTGCCAAGCTGGTGGTTAAAAAGCAGCGTCTCAGTGTAATTTTGTTGTTGTTGATTTTTGCAAGTTTACCAGGCGGCTGAGACTGACACACTTCCCTGTAGTCATAGACCCGGCCAAACATTTCCCAGAGGCGAGAATGCCGTTCTTTCTGGTTCTGGATTTATAGAAATAGCTCATCTATTGAGGTGGAGACATAAAGGAAGGAAGAAATGATGCTATCAATGTGACTCTACTTAAAATGGCTCTTGGCTGGGCGTGGTGGCTCACACTTGTCATCCTAGCACTCTGGGAGTCTGAGGCGGGAGGATCGCTCAAGGTCAGGAGCTTGAAACCAGCCTGAGCAAGAGCGAGACCCCGTCTCTACTAAAAATAGAAAGAAATTAATTGGTCAACTAAAAAAAATATACTTATAAAAATAATTAGCCGGGCGTGGTGGCGCGTGCCTATAGTCCCAGCTACTCAGGAGGCTGAGGCAGGAGGATTGCTTGAGCCCAGGAGTTTGAGGTTGCTGTGAGCGAGGCTGACGCCACGGCACTCACTCTAGCCTGGGCAAGAAAGCGAGACTCTGTCTCAAAAAAAAAAAAAAAAAAAAAGGCTCTTAAAAAAGTCTTTGCAAATTTTTTTTCACAGAGCTACGTCTGAATCTCCCAGACCCAGCAAGACCTGGGCGTCCGCACTTCCCTAAGCAGTCCGGGAAGTTCTTATTCTAGAACGTAAGATAGATGCAAGCTCTGGGTCCCCACCGTCCTTCCTCCCTTAATCCCTCAAACTTCACGACCAGCCGTCAGACTGACGTTTGGTAGACTCGCTCATTCACAGTGTTACAGCTCCAAGTTTTCCCATGCTCATAACGAAAGGGAGACAGCTTTAGTCTTTTGCAAGTCATTTCCTCTTTTATGCAAAGCGAGGGAAGCAAAGCGACCTACACCCTTTCTGACCACAGTTTGATGTTTCTGCCCTGCAGCCTCCCATAGTGCCCAAGATATCCAGCGATGGCGACACCTCCAACTTCGAAACCTACCCCAAGAATGACTGGGACGAGGCCCCTCCCGTGCCTGAGAAAGACTTAGAAATCTTCAAGAATTTCTGACCACAGGAACTCTCATCTGCAAGGTACTCACCTTTATGTTTAGTGATCGCCAAAAAAAAAAAGTGAGGTTGCCTCTACCCCACATCCAAGCAATGTTGGGTTTCACGGGTGGGGCTAACCTCATCTATTTGGACATCAGCACTTTGGAGGGCCAAGGTGGGAGGATCCCTTGAGGCCAGGAGTTCCAGACCAGCCTGGGCAGCATAGCAAGACCCCATCTCTATTTAAAAAAAAGAAAAATAGAAAAATTAGCTGGGCATGGTGGTGCACACCTATAGTCCCAGCTACTTGGGAGGCTGAGGCAGGAGGATCGCTTGAGCCCCAGGAGTTTGAGGTTAAGTGAGTTGTGATGAGACCACTGCACTCAAGCCTGAGCAACAGAAAGTCTTTAAAAAGAAAAAAAAAAGTATTTCTATATTCCTTTTTGTTAAAAATAAATAAACAAACATAGCATAGTATGCCTCGTATGAAATTTGCTAAGCTTAATTTGAGGTAACTAAAAAATGATTTCGCTCAGTTGTACTTCTTGAAAGAGACCTTTTTTTCCGGTAGCATCCAAGCAAAGCAAGAAGAGCGAAATATCGTCCGTGATATGTCTACTCATTGACATAACTCGATGTATTTTTTTTTCCTCCCATTTTGATGCCCATTCCCACAATCCTCCCATAGTTTTCCCAGCTTTGTAAAGTGGGAAGCTAGCAGTTTCAGGGCCATCCGTGACCAGCGTTAGACCTCGGAGCAGCTGCTGAGGTTTGGAAGAGAGGGACCTGCCTGCTGAGAGAGATGTCCCACAGGAAACCTCCACCCTCTGCTGGTATTTGCACGGATGATGCATCGAGGAAAAAATCGGATAGAAGTTAAATTTTCCTCACGGCTACGTCCGTGAGAAAAATAACGTGTCTATGTGGCATAGTTTAATCTCTCAGCACACGTTACCAGTGTCTCAGAGCCCCTGCATTCCACTCGTGGGTCTTACAAAAATCCTAAGACGTTCCTGAAGCTCTGTACTTTTTTTGTTTATTTGTTTTAGCATATTATGGGGGTACAAGTGTTAAGGTTACTTATATTGCCCATGCCCCCTCCCCTCTTGAGTAAGAGCTTCA